TAGTAGTAGTAGTAGTAGTAGTAGTAGTAGTAGTAGTAGTAGTAGTAGTAGTAATACTCCAAATCACGATCCTCCCTCTGAAGATTTAGTGGACAAAGTTTTTCCAAATCCAGCTTGTTAACCTTTTTTGTAGCGGCACTCTCATTCCACACATTTAAGATGCAAAAATTTTCGTCTCGCCCACCAATATCAAATATTATGTATTTCTACGAGGGGTATTAATTGAACAAATCTACAAGGGCATTAATTAAACAATACCTCTCATTACCATCCCAGCAAAACTACCCAATCTCCCATTAAAGGCAATCCCTGATTGAGATCGAAGTGAGAATGTGTTTTTGTAGATTTTATGTGGTACTTTTAATCAGCGTCTCTAATAAGTCGTTATTTTAAAAAGAAGTAGTAACGACAGGAGTGGGTCCGGTAGTCGAGGAGTTTGCTGAAAATTTCTTCTTCCTTCCATGCTTGTATCTATTTGTCGCAGCCTAAATATAAGTATTTTTCTCAGACGAACTCATAGTCATAGATCTAGCAGGAGATTCTGTTCAAAATTTATGACACCTTCTTAAAGATCTTTTTTTTAAAAACAGCAAATTGTGACTCTGCCAAAGTATTCAGCCATATCGCTTGTTTCATTGGATAAAAGGAATTTCCCCAATCCCCTTCACATTCCTAATATTTCCTTTCGACTTTTCAATTCAGGCACATTTCTTCGACGAGCGAGACTTCCAGAAGAAAGTTCTTGTTGTGATCCAGAGAAAAGCAGAGGAAGTGCTGGCTACTGATGACGTCACCAACTTGTGCGAGGAATGCCTCACCACGATTGTCCAATCAGATCAACTTATGACGAAAGTAAGGCATCCACGCGAAACTGGTTGGGCTTTGAACAACTTCATTAAAGACATTCAACATAATATGTCCGTTGCTAGCCAAATTAGATCAGCTAGCGTAAGAATAATAATTATAATCTACTTTGGATTGAATTCTTTTCAGGTGCTTTTGTTGTTGTTGTTGTTGCTGTTGTTGTTGTTGTTGTTGTTGTTTGCCACCACAAAGGAAAAATGTCTCTCCTACAGCGTCGTGTCATGTCCAATCATCAAAACAGACAATACCGAAAAGTATTTTTTTTAAACTATCGTACATTTCAAACGTGAACACCCCCCTCCCCCAGAGCAGTGCTACTGACAGTGTAATGTCTTTAGGCCATTTCCAAAGGGGGGATATTAACACGTTATTATGCACAATAGAATTGTAAAAGGTCTGATTTATCAATGTCATGCTCATACTGTGCCGGAACAACATAAAGGGAACTGCTGCTTTATCTTTCATCGTGCTTACTATCGTCATTTTTCCTGTACTTCTTTTGTATGTTTGTCACTCTCTTGTGAACTGCTATTTCCGGGGTGCCTTGATGGTCGAAGCAGACTTCGTGCTGTTGAGGCTAGAGAGGTGTTCAGAGTAAACCTGATTCCCCGTTTGGACTTCTCTGTTGACACCCACCCCTTGGCGCTCATTTGACACAATGCAGTTGCGAACGCTGTAAAACCTTACTAAAACTAAACTAAAACTTGAACAAAACAAACTATAAGCAAACACGGAGGCAGAAACTTCAGGATTAAACTCAACAATTAACGATTTTCGGGTGCACCCATAGGGAAAAGATGTAAAGTCGGTGTTACTGATGCTATTGACAGGAAGAAAGATATGCCTGACATCTAGACCAGACTTTCCTACTTCGATTTTATATTATATCATCCATCGCACATTGTAAATCATAATCATCATAACTATAACATAAATGTTAAACCGTTTTTACTCTTTTACTTCTTCCACAATTCGTCTGTTTTTCTTTGCTCGGTGTCGATACGCATCATGTCGATAAGTTTCTCTTTAATAAGAGTTTTTAAAAACAAGAGCATCATAATTGACCTGATTCGTGAATATTGTCGTACCCCCGACTCTAATTTTTTTTTTATCCAAAAAAACCCCCAGACAGACAGACAGACAGACAGGCAGACAGACAAACAAACAAATAACAGCACATTATTATCATCTATTTAAGATAAGCACCGTGCCTACTACCCTCTCCCCTCCTCAAACCCTTTTTTTAAATTCTTGTATTAATCTTTTCAAGGAGGAGCTGGTGCTGTCAGCCTGCAAACGCTGGGCGGAGTCCGAGTGTCAGAGGCGGGGCCTGTGTGTCAGTGACGAGAACTGTCGGATCATGTTGGGAAACACTCTCTATATGGTGGGTACTTCGCTGCCTGACCACGTGACCGTCTGGGGTCGTTGATGGGGATCGAATGCATTCTTACACAGACTTCAACATAAGTTAAGGACCACCTCGATACAGACAGTCAAGATTTTTCTAAAATCCGAAAAAAAAGGCAGCAAGGAATGTTTCAAAATGTTTTGCTCTGAAAGTGTTTATAGCTTACCAATGCTTCCTAAAGTGACAAAACCACCACGTGCAGCTAGGAAATCCTTGGGGAATTTCAGCCAAATTTACGACTTCAAGGACATTCCTCAGTTAAAATGTCTGGTGCATGTCATAAACGGACGTATTGTCTTGAACTGTGCTCACTTTGGTGGCAAAAGTTGCCGTTTGCGCAAAAATCCAGTATCGCATCAACATGCCACCAAGACGGAAGCTGAGAGACTTTGATTGTGCCAGAGCTATGGCATGGCTGCAGGATGGAGTTGGATCCCGAGAAGTTGCCAGAAGGCTTGCAATGTCACACTCTGTCATTGTCCGCTTGAGGCAGCACCATCAAGCCATTGGATCAGTCCAAGAACGCCCACGTGCATGTCGACTCAAGAAGACCACTCAGAGTGTTTATAAGTGGTCCTTAACTTATGTTGAAGTCTGTAACTTAAACCGCGTGCCCATTGGAACAATCGGGTCGGGTCACGTCGGGTTGGATTGCTAGCCAGATGAGAGCGCAAAGCGGCTATCGTGGCACAAACCGATCGCCCGACTCGTCGTTTCAAAAAACTTACGCGTTTCTTTACACCCAACGAGTTGGGCGATCGACGCCCTCCCGTCTGCAACGGGCACCCGGATTTCCATTGGTCAAATGGAGCCGAGATGCATGATCAGATCAGATCAGATCGGGTACATGTTATAGCTCTGGCTTGTATCAATTAGGGATTTTTATAAAATAGAACTCTGCTTTAATTCATCAAATTAGACCCAGAAGTCCATTGCAGTCTATAATTGGTGCATTCCGCGAGCAAACAATTGAAGACCTGATTCTGCATTGTCATTTGACGAGTGGTAGCACTTTGATTGTCTCTGTTCATTCCCACGATATTGATCACTTGTACCCACCCCGTCATGATATAACAAATCAAACTTCTTAGTTTTGGAGGATCGGATCAAATCGTAACAAAATGGTAGCTTTTGCTTAATCAACCCGTAACTCTTTTTTCACAACCCCAAACGTTTTCTGCAAATATTGACAGACAAAGAGATCAATTGTTTATTTGTATACCTTATATAGTTTATATAGGGTGAGCACACCCCCCCCCCCCCGCCCCGCCCCCGGGCCGCCCCGGACAAACTATAGGTATAGGCTAACCACCAAAACATATTGATATGGCCAATGACACAGTCCTGCGCCGATATAAAAGTAAAAGCTGAAGGAATACGTAAATTGATCCTTTTCGCGTGCCCAAAGCAAAATGAATGAATCTGTTAGACCGTCAACTAAAATAGTAGTCAGAACGGTACGGTGATAGATCTTCAACAAAACCAGAAACATCTCGATATAGATATGCACACACATACATATGTATTTGCTTTACGGCCAATACATTTTAATGGTGTATTTCTATACTTCCTTTTTACTACAGATTCGCTTTCCGCTGCTTGAGCCCAGCATTTTCGTGAAAGAGATAGTGTCAGGTTCGTTGCTTTCAGAGGAGGAGAAAGTGGACGTGATGGGTCGATACATTGTCGCGTCCAGGTGGGTCACGTGGTCCGATTATGTCAGAGCTATTCTGTGTAGGCCTACTGTGTTTTCGTTATTTCCTGCTAGTTAAATAAAGTAAGGTGTGAGGTGCCAAATTGTCACGTTAATTTTGGATGTATATAAGTTGTATAAGTTTTCGTGTTTTTATTTTGTCTCCCAATTCATATACAAATCTTTCTATTTTGGTTGCATGTATTATTGTAAACTCAATGCATTATAAGAATGCATAATTATAATGATATAGTCTATATATTTGTATATATTATTATATATTATTATCCTATATTATATTCCTCGCAATTTACCTATTTGCACAATCTTCAGATTTCGCTGGGCGTTTTAACAATCGTATAATTGTGCGGCCATCTTGCGCTGCGTGTTTAAACGATGGTATAATTGCGCGGCAATCTGAAGATTGCGTTAATATTTTTTAATTTTAAAATATTTCATACACTTTGATTTTAATTTTCATATTTTTACACTTTTGAAAATATATATGAATGTTCCTTGATGTGAGTAAAAGAATAAATAAAATGGAAGTGAATTTTTAAAATTTGTTTTAAGAATATAAAAAAATTAAAAGTACTGTGTGAGTTTGATACCTAGCATTGTATCGCTCTTGTGAGCTCTTCAGTTTTATTTGCTAATTTTAATTTCAATTTTAATATTCGTATTTTTTCACTTTTGAAAATGTATGTGAATGTTCCTAGATGTGAGTAAAAGAATAAAGATGGAAGTGTAATTTTTTTTTAATATTTTAAAAATATAAACTATAAATTCAATCTTCAGTGTGCCGTACAATTATACCATCATTAAAACATGTAGCGCAATCTTAAGATGGCCGCGCATTTATATGATCGTTAACATAATCTTAAGATTGCGCACATTGGAAAATTGCACGGAACATATAATCTATAAACAATGTTATGTTTTTGAAAGTCCGTCACTTTTACCGCCTAAAACTTGGGAACCACTTAGCTTTCGAATTTGACCAAACCACCCAATAAGCAAGTGTGCCC